CAAGACAAATAGAAGACATCTTCGATGGATTGGTTATGATTTTGCAAATAAGTTTGCAGTCATTTCTCATTAGATTAGAGCGAAGAAAGTTTGTTCACATGAACCAGATTTTCATTGTATCCTTCCTTTCAAACCTAAGCATTTGGATTATAGAGATCTATGAGATATCGGATCAGTTGTCAAGAATTCACACCATTTTCCACTCGTCCTCTATTCTCCTACTCTTTGTATCATTGAATCGATTCTATTCTTGTCTTATATTCTATCAATTCTGGAAAACTCATTGAATCCAGTCTATACAACTGTTTATCACTTCAATATTCAATATAAATCTTGAAATATTGAACAAATCTTTAAAATGTAATACTTATAAAACTTTATAAAATCTTTAATACTTATAAAATGTATTTCTTTTGTAACTCATTTTGTCGAAAATAAATTAATTCTCATTTTGATTGGTTTGAAAGCCAATTGATTGGCATTTATATCATATGCAATGCTAACTCTTTAGTTTTAAGATAATCACCACAAATAGATCCGTTTTATTAAGAATGGCTAAAGTTTCTTAAACTCCAACATCTTAGAGGACACGGAATAATGGAATATATGTTCGGAACAGTTGTCGGAATTGCCTCAAGACTTATGCAAATTCAATATAATTGAAGTGTCATTCACGTGAGTGTGTGAGACAATAGTTGGTAATAAAGTTGAAGTGAAGACACCGGAAACGGTGGCAATGGATGACCTCTTTTGGCACAACTCAGTCGATGTATGCCTGGAGTGGAGCCGCGAGTGATGTTCAGTGCTTACAGTTGTGCCCAACTGTTGAGCGCATCACTGCATCACTGCCTCCACTGAACTCACATACAGTCACTGCCTGTCAGTCCATAACTTTGGTTAACTGTAAGGCAAACCAAACCAAAACCAACGCAAACCTATGAAGTCTAACCTCTAGTCTGCGTACAGTCTGTGCACAGCATTAGGTTTTCGACTAAAGGGGTAATGGAACCTGGTGATTTGAATTATACCATAATATTCTATATTAAATTCTAAACACATTTAGCTAGTTAAATTAGGCGAATGGATATATACACTATTAGAAAAAGAATATTCTTTATATTCAAATATCAGAATTTTGCATGATAACTGTATATAACATTGAGTTTGAATATTTTAAATCAAAAATATGAATCATACAAAATGTATAGAATCTATAGATTATAAATTGACATTGACACTATAAATGAAAATATAATTATTCATTAATATTTATATTGTGCTGTTATGAGAAATTCTATGGTTTTGGTTATAAATAGGAATGAAAAAAAAGTGGGTATCCATTAAATGAATGACCCCTCAAATATTATAATTTATTAGTAATTTTTACCAATAATAACTTTTGTCACAAAATTTATTAATGCATTGAAAATTCAGTTTTATTTGATATACTCATACCTCATTCATTTAACTTGATAATCTTTCTTTAAGGCATAACAATCTCTGAATAATAAACTTAAATATTTTATCTAAAACTACAGTATGTGTCATATTATTTGCTAAGCTTGTGTTCATTTTGAATCAATAATAATGAATATTTGAATAAAATAAAATAAATTAAACTCACTTGATGAGATTTTTTACAAACAAAAATTATTACTAATAGATTATTTGCAAACTATTAATACAATTTTCTTTCATTCAGTACGTACCCATAAATACATATAAATACACATAAATACACATTATAGGCCCACTTTTTTTTCATTCCTATTTATAATACACTTGATGAGCTTTTTTACAAACAAAAATTATTACTAATAGATTATTTGCAAACTATTAATACAATTTTCTTTCATTCAGTACGTACCCATAAATACATATAAATACACATAAATACACATTATAGGCCCACTTTTTTTTCATTCCTAATTATAACATATATTATATGAATAAATCATAACCAGACAGGCGTTAGAGCTGGGTCAACATATTAGCAATATTAGTAAAACTTTCATATAAACTTTTATAGAAGTAGCACCCGGATCAATTTTTATTTAAACCCACTAATGCCTCTCTGATTATGATTTAGTCAAATGGAAACCATGTATTTCCCGCTGTTGAATGAGCTGACTATTAGATTCCAAATAATAAATACCCGGTATAGTTTTACAAATTATGAGCACAAATTATACTATTAGTGCAATTTTGCGACAAGAAATTCATAAAAGAAATTATACACTGGATCGTTGAATTCCCTGTCGATTAGATGTGTTCTAAACCTTGCAATCATTGTCTCATCGATTTGAATACTATTTCTGGAGATTCTATTAAATTCTTGCATCAGTTCTGTTGTCGTCCGGTTCGCCGGGGTTTCACTCGTCATACGATTAAATAAGTCGTTAATTGTATCGATATTGACGCCGACATCACATAAAACACGTTTCCAACTCTTCTGTATCCGCATCAGTAGTTTGAATGAAAATTCTTGTTTCCTAATATAGTATTCAAAGAATAATAGCGTTTTTCATTAGTAACACAAATATCAGTTAATAATAATTAACACATACTTTTCTATAAGAGACTCAAACAGACTTTTACCAATAATACCGATATTGTTTATGTCCTGTTTATTTAGGCTGGCTGAATTTTCGCTATTAATTATAATGAGATATTAATTATTATATGATATATTTTACGCTTTTTATTACAGCTTACTTATGTTGTGGAATATAAGTTTCATCGAATTTATCGAGATCATTTTTGTTAAAAATAATGTCCATTAATTTAACATTGATGCCCTGGGTCACGTTTGTCGTAATAAACACATTCAAATAGCTGAGTGCCAAATAACTAGCAACGCGTTCATGGTTTGTATACAAATCGTGAACACAGTTTAAAAATTGAGAGAATATTTCGCATGATAATAGAAAATCAATTAAAATGAGATCCGGATCATATTGCTTGTCAAATACACGCCATTTTAGTTTCAGAAAATACCGCAAACAATGGGAACAGCACTCCATTTGCATAAACAGCTTATTGTTCTCCAGCCATGTATTATAGCGTTTGACCAAATATTTCGAGTCAAAGGTATTGTACGTACGAATTTGTTGGACAAATTTGCTCATGGTCTCTAGATTATCTAGGTTAGTTATTTATTATGAAAAATCAGATTCAATGTCACGATTAATATGCAGTGATTTTCATTGTATTCACCTGGCACAAAGTATCTTAGCAAGTACATCTGTTGATCGACTAAATGTTTTGCAACTTTCATTCCTTGCCGTAAATGCGAATCAATTTCAACATCTTGTTTAAAATGTGATTCTCGCACAAAATCGTCTGATGTGCTGGCTATAAATAATAATTACAGTAATTATTAACTTGTTACATCATACCCATACCCTTACCATCTATTATGACATTATTTACTATAGTATCGCATGAATCGCCAAATTTGACGTAAGCTCTACACTGACTATATTTGTGATAAAAATATTGACACTTGCTTTCAATGCATTCATCGAATAGTTTGACGTCGTTTTCCTTGATTACAGCGCCGACCGATAATCTATTAAATCTAAGCAATATATCCGAGCATTCGGGTCGTGTCGTCCAATCGGTCGGACCACTCTTGCTATTCTCGTTAGCACTCATTTCGAGTAATATTCCGTAAATACTAGTCATTAAATCGGCTAAATCTGTATCGTATGCTGTATATAATTGATCTCTGTGATCAATACAATAATAATAATAAGATTCACCAATTAATTTGGTTTAACTTTACTCTACTCACATTTAAAACATATCTTAAATTAAATCTCAATTTTCACTTACTTTCCATTCATAAAAAATTTTCTATTAAATTCAAAGATATCTATCCCAATGAGTGCTAGACTATAGATATCAATCTTATGGTTATAATCGTCGCCCATGGCTTCCGGTGCCTGATATCGAGGGTCTCCTACATCTTCCGTATGAGGTACGGCAGACATGGGATGCGGTCCACTCGTACTGAACGCCTCTTTCGACAGACCGAAGTCACATAACTTGACATACCGTTGAGTTTTGGTGCCGTTCATAGCGATCAACACGTTATCCGGTCTGAGGTCTCTGTGAATGATATGGTTTTCGTGCAAATACTGTACACACTCTAGAAGTTCCCGAAAAATTTCCAGCGCTATATAGCACTCGAATCTAGTGGTCATCGCATCCTTATTTTGTCCGCCGAATGAGTTTTGTCTTATTTGCAACACTTTTGCGAGATTTTCGAAACATAACTCCATTTGAAAGTACAGACAATTGTTTTCGACCCACGAATAGTAGTATTGTATCACAAATTCGGAGCGAATTCTTATTAAATGTTTCGTTTCAATCATTATGTACTTCACATCTTTTGGGTCTACATCTGAAAATTATTAGAAAATTAATAGTTTATATGAAAAATGTTTTTAAATACTATTATTTGCTAATAATTAGAATACAATTACAATAAAAAATATTGTATACATATTAAAATCCTTACTTTAATTACATTCTTATATCCTCTAGTTAATTGACTTTTCTAGGTATAAGGTTTTTTATATGAATTTTTAGTATGTATAAAATTATAAACATGAAAACTTTTAGACTTTGGATTTATAAACATATAACATTTGAATCTAGGTCTCTACAGGACTATAAAAATTAAATGTATAATAATAAACACACCTTTAAACTGAGATATTTTTATCGCATATAATCCACTAGTATGCTTATCCCGAACTTTATATACAGTTCCGTAACTTCCTTTACCAAGTTTATTTAAAACATCAAATGTGTTTTTGTAGTACCCATTAGCTGTATCGACGGGTATATCTTAAAAATAAATGAACGAGAAAATTGTCATAGATAGTTTCCAATTAAAATTGTACAATATACAGTAAGTTTACATTATATTAACGCCAAAAAAATGTCATCCAGAACAAAGTAATAAAAATGAACAAAACTCACCGTTATTTTCTGTTGAGTACATATTTTGTTCAGTATTTAACCGCCGATTTGTATGATTACTTCGTTGGCAACCGTTGACCGCAATCGCGGTTACAGTCATTTGTAACTCATTCGCATAGAACTCATCAAATGTTTTACATTTAGTTTCGATTATCTCATATCTTGATCGGAACAAGTGGTACACCGTATCGCCCGTAATACCCGCTATTATAGGCCGGGTTTCCGATCTATCTTTGCCTTCATATGAATTTATTTGCCGTATCTCATCGAATACCAGGTCATTTAGTAACCATAACGGATTATCCTTGCTCTTTTCAAAAGCTCCGTCAAAATATACATATATATTACCGTCAGTGGACAGCATGTATACAATGAATCCATTAAAGCAAATATCCTTGATGAATGTTACGTCGTCCAGGTTAATTAAGGTGGGTGTATACGAAGGGGTGAATAGTCGAATCGCACCCCATATAAACACCCGGCCATCACGTGTTATAGCAAACGATGTGTTTTCATAACCAATCACTTTCTCAATCATGTATTTACCGGGAAATCTGATCCTCGTCGGGGTCGCTACAACCCTCGCCCTACCAGCACCTACCTGTCCACTGGCATTAAAACCCCAACCGTATACATGTCCGTTAAATGTGAGCGCAAGGGTGTGATTAAATCCACAACTGATTTGCCTCAACATGTCTTTCTGATAATTGAATGCAATATCATTTGGAGAATTATATACGACATCATTATTTACACCACTCCCCAGTTGTCCCCAATTATTACGACCCCAACTGTATACGTGATTATCACGATCCATAGCTAATACAAAATCTTGTCCGTTGACAAACTGCTGTATATAATATGGACGTAATCCCGGCACTGCTT